ATGTTCTTCTCAAATCTGTTACTTTGATTGGACACATACAACGCCTCTAGTTAATAGGTTGAATCATCTCTGAGCATTTGACAGAAGCCTTGGCTCCTTAATTCTATGAAGGTAGTTTGGGATCTCTAATTGCTTCATTGAAAAAAGGCAGACACTTCAGGCCGCTGCAGTGTTTGGGAATTAATCTTTAAAGCCTGACAGTGAACATTAAATTCAATTAGGAAGAGCGATTGGCAAAGATTCCTCTCTTTTGCCTTGGGTCCTTTGAGCAGTCGCTGACTGGTCAGCATTGATTCTGGTGCCATCGCTGTCTGGGCCTTGTGCAGGAGAGCTGCTGATGTTTATGTCCATACCTCCAAGAATTGTCACGTGCCCAGGCCCCACAACCCCCCTAAGCCCTTCCCTGGGCCTGTTTGGGTTACCCCGGCCCAAGAACTCAAATGTGCTGCATTGCTGGCTGCCCTTGGCATCACTGAGTTAAAACTTTTTCCTCTCTTTCTACCTTGATCATCCTCTTACTCCTCTCTGCCCCTCCCGCCTTCTCTCTCCCATCTCCTCCTTTGCTTCTTCCTCCTCTCTTACCTGTTCCTTTTTGTTTCTCCATTTCTCGTTCCCTTCCTTCTTCTTCTCCTCTCCCCTTAACTTGACATCTTTATTTTAAATTATAAAGTCATTATAAGTATATGTTATGCTTAAAAACACAGGAAAAAAGTGTGATGTCACCCACGTCCCCACCACTGGCATGGTAAAGTCCAGGGCTTTGTTCCCAGGTGGCACGGGGCCATCAGCAGCAAGTGACGCACTGGCCAGGCTCTTCTCTTGGCTTGGAGGCCCACCCTCGTTCTGGTCTGGCCTGTGACGTCTGGGAGGGCGTGGGGCGGTGGGGGAGGCTCGATGAGGCTCTGGCCTACTTTTTGCATTTTTTGTTTTGTGGGCAGAGCTCAGCCAGGGCATGACCTACACACCGTCTCGGTGGCAGGGCCATCCACGTGTTCAGCCTCTGTCCTAGGCCTCTTCTGACCATTGTACTGTGTTCTCAACGGCCTGCTTCTGTTATTCAGAACTGTGCTCCTCCCTGTGCTCCTCCCTGCTGGGCTGCTCCTCCTGTAGCCAAGTCTAACTATTTCTTTTGGTGCTCAGACCAAAATGTTAAAGGGTCATTTTGGTCTTTTCTCTTGCCCTCCTATCCCATCTCTAGTCCCGGGGGCTCCTGTTGCTTCCGCCTTCTGCCGAGCCTCTCCTCCCTGGCCTCCAGTTGGTACCAGCTACTCTCCTCCTGTACCCTGGATTCTTTTTTTTTTTTTTTTTTAACCATAAACTAGAGACAATTTGTTGTATTTTCAGCATGATATAGCTGGCAAAGGATTGCATCCAGAAAATACAAATAATAAGAAAAAAATCAAATTCAGAAGGGAAGAAGCTAAAGAATATGGAAAAGGCACTTTAGAAAAGAAAAATCATGCAAGCCCAATAAGAAATGAAGAGAGTCTCAACCTTGCCACCTTTTAGGAAATTGTAAAATATTTTTACCTACCAGGTGAACAAAAATGAAAAAAGAATGTCTAGTGTTGGCCATAGTGTTTATAATTAGGTAATGACAGTAAAAAAAATGCCTTTCTAGGTAATTTGGCCTGTTAACGAAAATGTTTAAGCAATGACATTTTTATTTACCCTGGATTCTTGCATCGCTCCCCTCCTCTCTCCCCGCATCTGCCTTGCTCTCCTCCTTGTGTGGCTGCCAAGGCCCTGTTAGAAGATACCCTGTCCCTATCCTCTGCCTATGAAGGCCTGAATGTTCTGGTTGTGACTTTCTGACCTCATTGCTGGTTACTTACCATCTTGGCCTGTTTGCCTCTTGTATACTGCCCTGCCCACTCTTGCTTGGTGGTGCCAGGTATCCTCTTGTCTCTGCTTGCAAATGTTCCTCCCCCAAATTCTTCAAAGCTTTCTTCTTTACCCTTCAGGTCTTCTTGGAGAGATCTACCTGGCCACCCTGGCCCCTCTTCTTGACCTTACAACCCCCCTTCTTAGTTACCTTTTAAAACTTCAGTTGTAAGTAGGGTGTCGGTAGCTTATACCTGTAATCCTAGCTACATGGGAGGCTGAGATCTGAAGACAGTGGTTTGAAGCCTGTTCAAGCAGGAAAGTCCCTGAGACTTTTACCTTTAAAAACCAAAAATGGAGCTATAGTTCAAGTGGTAGAGCACTACCCTTGAGCACAAAATCTCAGGGACAGCACCCAGGGCCTGAGTCCAAATCCCAGGACTGTCAGTCTTTATCAATACCAGATACATAGCAGATACACAGTATATCTTTCTTCCCCACTGAAACGCCACCTCTTGAAAGGCAAGGGGCTGGTCCTCGTTTTCTGTTGAACAACACCTGCCTGGTAGCAGGTACTCTCGAAGTATCTGTGGGACAACTGAACAAGCTTCCCAGAAGAGAGCATTTGGGTATCTTTGCGTGGGAGTATTCTCCCTCTCCCTTGCCCACCCCCTCCCATGTGGCCACCTCTCACTCCCAAGAGGAGACGCTGCTCTGTATTCCCAACCCTACCCTTCTCCCTCCAATTCCAGGAGGGACCCCCATCCTCATGCATGTTCTTGTAGCCTTACTACAAGTGAATGAAGGGGCCGGAAGGTGGCTCAGTGGTAGAGCGCTTGCCTCGCATGCATGAGGCCCTGGGTTCGATTCCTCAGCACCACGTAAGCAGAAAAAGCCAGAAGTGGCGCTGTGGCTTGAGTGGTAGAACGCTAATCTTGAGCTGAAGAGCTGAGGGACAGCACCCGGGCCCAGAGTTTAGGCCCCACAATTGACCCCCCCTCCAAAAAAAGAAGAAAAGTGAATAAAAAAACGAGGTCGATGCTGTTTTGTGGGTGTCTCTTTTTTAAATGCATGCAATATAAAATTCATTGTTGAGGCCATTCTCAGCATTTCCATTCAGTGGCGGGAGGCACACCGGCACTGTCCTGCAGCCATCACCACAATCCATCCTCCTGCAGAACTTGCAAAACCGAGACTCTGTCTCCTGGAACAACAACTCTTTCCATTTCTGTGCCTGTGACTACCCAGGGACCCTCATGAAGTGGAGCCATGTGGTAGATATCCTCTTGCAACTACCTTATTTCGGTCAGCATCATGTCCTCAAGTTTCATCTGTGTTGTAGCAGGTATCCGGATTGCCTCTTTCTGCACCTGTACCTCTGGATGGATAGACTACCTGTTGCTTGTCCATTATCTTCCGTGGATACATGGAAGCAATAACAATATTGTTTTTATTTTTTATTTTGCTTTTGCAAATAATATTATATGATCCTGGCTTCAGTTTGGGGGTACATACCTAGAAGTGGAGTTGTTGGATCATCTGGTAATTCTGTGTTTATGTTTTTGAAGACCCTCTATACTGTTTTCCAGTAACACCTTACAATTGAAACCCAGAGTTTTAGTTTATCCAAATCCTTGTCAACTCTTGGTATTTTGTTCTTTTGTTAGTAGCCAGCCTAATAAGATTGTAGCATGTGTGTGTTTAAAAAAAATGAAATGACCTCATACTTGGCATATGGGGCTTGTCTTATGTACAGAATATTAATTTATTACCAGTTGGCCCCGTTAACCCTGTAGGTCTTGGTAATTCATTTTACTTTGACTGTTTTTGCTCTTAATCCCATATTCATACGTGGTTTGGCAGAAATAGCCTTTCTCTGCCCTTTGCTGCCCTTCCATGCGTTCTTGCTCTACTTTGAAGTCTTTTGACTGTTCTTCTGTTATTTCTGTCCCTGTTTCTAAATGTAACCACCGCTATTTCTTGATTTCTCAGTTTGAGGCCTAGATATTGACCCCTGGTACAGAAAAAAATAACTAGTGCGCGCTTAGCATCCTTTGAAGGCTCTACTTGGCCTCTTGTTTTCTTAAGCATAGACATCTACATATTCCCAGGAAACCACTCTCAGAACTCCCCAACTTTGCCCTTTGAGAGACTATAGGACTTGGCCGGGAATGATTTTTCTCCTTCAATAGGAAGGTTACCCCTCGAATCCGGTCTGCAGGAGTGTGTGGGTGTGCTTTGTTTGGGTTTTTCTCCTATTAACCAAAAGGAAGCTTGGTTTTCCTGGTCAGGTGAGAAGAGCTCAGGGACTCGTGGCCACTGCAAGCCTCAAGCATCACATCCCGCGGCTGTGTGATTCCTGCTGGTCACCAGCCGGTCACCAGCTCCTCACTCCTACAATGCTTTCTTTATCTCCACTTCATGGATGGGGAGCCTGAGGCCCAGAGAGGTGAAGCCACTGGGCCAGGTCTCATGAGGGATAAATAGCAGTGTCAAGTAGAGGCTGAGCTCTGCCTCACAGTGACCGGGCAGGCTATGTGTATGTCTCATTGCCCTGAGCACCCCTGTGAGCCAGGCCTCGCCAACCATGGCATTCCAGCTTTCCTGCCTTTCCATGCGAACGTGCAGCTCTGTACCTGGGCTCTTCTACCACTCGCCGAAGTCATTCGGTATGCATAGAGCTTTCTCCTGATGGCCTCGTTCACCCTGTGGGATGTTGGGATGGAGATGAGGGACCGTGCTTTCTCCCAGAAGGAAGCACAACTGTCCCTAAGGCAGGTGCTGTCCCCCTGCCTGGATAGAAATACAGGTGTGGCTGGCCTCTTGGTGAGCTTCTTTAAAGAGAATATTCCATGGGAATAGCTTGGCCTTGTGCCATAGCCTCCACAGGACAGATAGCAGGATGTACAGGAGACTCAGAGGGGACTGTGACTGTTGCTGTGGCTAGCTGGTGTGAAGGGCAGGGAAGGTGAATGGACACAGGAAATGCTGTTTTCCTTAACCTCAGAATAAGTAAGCTTGCATGTTTCTGCAAGGAGAGGTATAACATCTAGATGTTGGTAGAGCAATTAACGGGGGCTCCAACTCCTGGGTGAGCCCCTGATTGTGGCTGAGCGGAGCCAGGAGACCAGGCCTCATTTCAATGCTGATGCTGTCTGTCTGCGTTTCTGTCGCAGATATGGAATGCCGTGGACTCGGGGCGCTGCCTGCAGACCTACCTCCTGCACAGTGAGGCAGTGCGGGCGGCGCGGTGGTCTCCCTGTGGCCGGCGCATCCTCAGTGGTGGCTTTGACTTCACCCTGCACCTAACAGACCTTGAAACAGGTGGGTTGGGCTGCATCATTGTCCTGAGGCACCCCAGCAGCTCTTCTGCTGAGGAAGGCTCTCTAGAGGGTTCTGGATCACAAACCTCATGTGGTCTTGGGGTGTGGGAAGGGTTCTTGAGAAGGGCTCATCTCTGGGTGACTCCAGATGGTTTGGTGGCCAGAACAGAGACTCCCTGCAGAGTATGGGAGGTAGGCCTCTGCTAGCCAGCACAGAGGACAGAGCCAAGGTTGTCTCAGCCCCAAACTGCAGGGGCTTTTAACATGCAATCTGACTGAAATAGATTTACCTCGATCATGGTGTCCTTTGGTTGGAATCCATTTAGAATTCCTATCAATGGGTTGCTGTTGGGAGGCTGATTGGTTCCACCCCTCAGGGGAGTCTCTGGATGGGTTCTGCCTCAGTGAGCACACTGAGAAAGCCTGTGAGGACGTGGGTCTGTGCGGGCTAGCTCCTCAGGAGCCCTTGACCGGTGGGCCAGGGAGGGAGGGCTAAGCCGGAGGAGCTTTCCCTTCCCCAAGTCCCCTACTGGGTGACTGTGAGCACAGACCAGGTAGAGCTAGAATCAAACCAGCACGATTCAGGCCTAGCTTCCTAATATTCCCATGGCCTCCTGAGACCCTCCTTGGCCACCTTCCTACTGGGTGCCTCATTCAGGGCGAGGAGGGTTGGTTCCTGCAGCCTGGTGGCTTCCCCAGAGGCTGCAAGGCAACCTCTTGCCTCTCTGGTCCAACAGCAGCCTGCTGGCCCCATTGATGGTGGCTCTGGGGCTGCCTCTTGCAGGATCTGAGGCTCTCTGTAGTCCACGCCCCCTCCCAAAAGTTCAGGGGAATGGCATGGATGGGAAAGGTGGTGTTGGGTAGCTTTGGGTCCTTATTTTCTAGGGCGGTGCTGGAGATCAACTTAGGGCCTTGCACAAGCTAGGCATATATTCTACCACTAAGCCACACCCCAGGTTCCTGTGCACTCTCGGGAGGGGGTGACTGAGGACCTATCAGGCCACTCTTTTGGGAATGGCATCGCCTCTGGGTTCATCTGGGCTCTTCTGGAGGTTCGGTTTCCTTCACTCAATTCATTACTTATTTTGTACCTATTGTGTGCAGGACCTGGTGCTGGGACTACAGTTGAGATCATGCTGTCTGTCCCTAAGGAGGGCGTGGCTGAGGGATTTAGAGCTCAGCATTTGGAAGACCTCCTGTCCCCAGAGGGGACCTCTGCTGTTAATGGACCATTTCTATCCATCTCCTGCCTCTCCGGAGAGCTCCTGGAGGGTGGTCCTGCCCTGGTGGTCTCTGTTTCCATCCACTGCCAGGGCTGCTTCTTTTCTCCCTGCCCAAGAGAGAGAAGTCCCTGTGGGCTGCTAGGGTGAGCAGGCCCGGCCCTCCCCGCAGTCTCCCCATCCCGGCACACTCCAGCATCTGCCTGGGTCTCGCTGGGTGCTGTCTACAGCTGAGGCTGAGATGGCGGCTGCATAGCCCCCGTGGCCTTTGTCCTGGTTTGACTTGTCCTTTCTCTTCACCAAGTCTAGTCTCCGTTTACTTGATCTGCCTTTTCCGCCCATGGTGATTTGGCTTTTTCATTTCAATCTAATTAGAGCTCCCTGCCAGGAGAAGGCAATGCAGGCCGTTCTCACTGCAGCGCTTTGGGAATTAGTCACTCCGTGCCCATTGTCGTTAATGGGAATTTGGCGCCGGGGCCATTTATCCTGGTGTCCTCAATCAATACAGTTAAAAATCTGCAGATTCTAAAATGTCAATACCCGGCCTGAAATATGGAGGGCCAGCAACATTTTATCTCGTTAATTTATAGTTCTGACGGGCTGTTGGCTTATGGAACAACCATGAATCAACACTTAATAAAATCTGCTCACAGATTAATTATTTGTGGCGCTCCTGTTTCCGTCTGTAATCTTCCTAACAAACGTCTCTGGGTACATTAGGCTGAGGTGGCCTCAGGGAACACTGGCAGATGCCACCAGGGCCCTCACCAGCTTTGTGAGTGACCCATCCTGCAGACCAAATCAGTCTCCTCAAATGCCCCATAGCTTGTTCAAGTTTAAGTGGTTCTAGCAATGCTTCTGGAAGGTTCCAGGCCCCCACACTCAGCATGACCATTAAGGCCACTGCGGGGGGCGGGGGGGGGAGAGGAGGAGGAAGGTAGTGGATGGGGAGTGGAGGGAGTGCTGCAGAAGCTGCTGCCTGTACGTCTTGCTGCTCTGTCTATGCACAGTTCTGCTCTCTTAATGTGCACCCAGCCCACTGGGTCATCTGTGTAGTACTCCAGCTCTACACTACGAATAGCATAGAAGGAGTATGGATAGGCTTCAAATTAAGACTCTTCTTTCTTTTATAACCACTCCTCCACTCCGAGCTAGGAAGATGGGGTACTCCTCTGGCTCTGCTCCCATACCATAACTGGCTAGGGGTTTCTGGGAGCAGAGCTGTGATGCCTGGTAGACCCTAAGTAAAAGGTGCCCATCCTTCCTGTGCATTGACCAGGAAGCCCGTGTCATCCAGGGATGGTGTCATCCAGGGAGCCACAGTTGTTGGAGTATATCCCCAAGTGAGTCAATCAGTTTAGGTCAGTTCAAAAAGCACCCCTGTGGCTGACGGCCATAGGTCTGGGGGCAGACTGAGGAGACCTTGGGCGGCCAAGGGTTCTTCCCCATCTTCCCCAGTTTCTCTTTTCCTTCTGGTGCGACAGCATGGTATCATCCATTATTTAAGATCTGGGTGGGTGTCCCCCACATCCGGTCCTGCTCTAGGGCTCCATGTACTGAAGGAGATCTGCCCTGTTTCTGGACCTGCCCCTGGCTGGCTCCTCCCATTCATGGTGTCCCTGGGGTTTTTGCTGGGGTTATCAAGTAGAAATGAGAGACCCTCCTTGACCATTCCTCCTGTTTCCTCAGAAGCGTCTTCTGATACCATCCTCCGTTCTAGACCACGTGTCTCCGTTACAGAGATGCCACAAGGACAGGGAGAATAGCTGACTGGTAATTCTTGCCGAGGTGTTGGACCGCCTCCTGGCTTCCATCAAGCCCATGGATGAAGAAGTGGGGGCCAGACTTTTGCTTACCTGACATGTGGGTCTCCTGCTCCATCCCACTTTCTGGATGCAAAACCAAGGCTTCGTGTGCCTGGAGACTTTTCTTAAGGCCACCTTAGCCAGTTGTGACAGAACCGAATCCAGAGGTTTCCTGGCATTGGCATGCCCTCTTCAGTAGTAGTGTGCCAAGCTTGACTTCCTGGAGCGTCAGGGCTCCAGTCTGGCAGAAGTGGCTCACCACCTGCAGCAGGTGGCAGAGGCTTCTGGGGAAGAAAGCAAGCCAGGCTGAGCTTAACAGATTCCCCTGATCAAGAGAGCGGCTAAAGATGCTCCTTGAGCTTTAGACATCTGCTAACCCCAGTGGCTTTAGAATACTTGGCGTAGGAAGGACAAGAGGCATGCAGATAAAGGCAGTGAAGAGCACTGGGGCTCATGGGCTTTGGAGGAGAGGCTGCAAGGGAAGCTCCTTGGCTCCTGCTGGGACTCAAGAAAGCTCTGCAGAGGGCTTGAGCCCCTCTTTTTATGCTTTGAGCCCCGAGGTACCTCTCAGGGGAACTTGGTCCTTCAGGTAGTGCTAGAGAAGGGAGCAGCTGACCTGCAGTGTCACGGTCCTGCCTGATGGGTATGCTTTCAGAGCCCTGGCACTTATTGCCTGTTTGTTCCTTTAGGCCCAGTGATGGTGGCTGCTAGATCAAGAGGTGAAGCTCAGAGGATCCTGCAGGCCCCTTGCCCCAGGGAACAGCTGCCCACCCACCACCTCCCTGCCATCCAGCAAGGGGATCTGTCCTCCTTTTCCATCTGAGGTCTCTGTCCCTGTCACCTGTGATCCTCCTAGAAGCTCTGTGAACAGCCCCGCAGGCTTCCACTGGGAAGGGTCTGCTGCCAGAGCTGTGCTCTCAGCCCTCATCTTGTGCCACCATGTCTGCATGCTTCCTCCCCCCTCCCACACCTCCCCTTATTTCCTTCTCTCCCTCTCCCTCTTCTTCCCTCACTACTTTTCTCTTCCCAAATAATTTTGGAGGAAAAGGCTTCCCTAGGTAGGTACCCACCTTTAATTAGATATTATTAAACCTTTGAAAACACCATGTAGCCCTCAGTGTCACTTCAGAAAGAGCCTGGAGTTGTCCTGCATCACCCCAAACCCGTCTCCTTGTCCTCTTTTTTGCGCTTGGGCTAGCTCTCTGGACGAAGCAGGTGGCATCTGGGAGGCAGTATTCATTGCTCTTGCTACCAGTGTAATCCGCATGGAGGAGCCATGGCACCCTTCTCAGAGGAGGCCACATTCACTGGCCGATTCTGGAAGCTCAACATGGTTGCACAACATTTACTTTTGGAATGGTGAGTTCTGAGTTCCAGAAAAACAACATACACATAAACCATTGCGTCATACCTGGTTTGCAAGTCAAGAACTCTTTTTTTTTTTTTTTTGACCCCAATTCTGGGGAAATTCAATCCTGACTAGATAATTACTTATATATGATAAAAGACCTGATTACAGCCACCAGTTTCTGTGTGAACGTAGTGGTTGCTGGTGTCTGGAGGGCCCTGTCATCAGGCTGGGGCTCCCTGGAAGACCCATCGGCTTGTACACTTACAACCACCCTGGAGGTAGGGCGTCACCTCTGCAGGTGAGGCCACTGCAGGCCCTGGGAGCATGGCTGGGGCCAGAGACCCAGAGAAGGGAGCACGCAGACGCAGCCCTCGCCCCGGCTCTCAGCCCCACCCTTCCGGGCCCTGGGCTGCCTTGCCGAGATGGCTCTGGTTCCTGATAGATGGAGTTTGATTTGAAAGTTAGTAAGCTTCTTTTCTCGTTAACTTTGAGTCAGGATGGTTAAATTTACAGCTGGCTGAATACTTCCCAGAGGATGAGTGTAACGATATTGATTTTAGCGAAATGAGTCATATGCCTGCTGCCTGGGAACACAGGCTCAATTACCACAAGCCAACAACATAAG